GAAGATTCTCCTTTAGCAAGCCTCCTAGGCCAGCCTCAAACTTGGGATCCTTCTGCCTCTGCCTCCTTCAGTAAATCCAACCAAGTGTGCTACCACAACCAGCAACGTGTAGCTCGGGTCTGAGCTGGGGCCCACAAGGCCACAGGCAAGTACCTTTTTCCTCAAATTCGTACCATGAATGTTGGGAGCCAGATGTAGCAAAAGGTCTTATTAATAAAAACAAACCTGTAGCCAGGTATTGGGGTGAATGCTGAAAGACCAGAGAAACAGAACAAACCACAGCCAACCTCACATGTAGAAGAATGAAACTGGGCTTATAACTATTACCATTCACAAAAATCAGCTTAAAATGGACCAGAGACCTCAATGTGAAACTTGAAACCCTGAAGCTGCTAGAAGAAAACATAGGCAGAACCCTGCAAGATTTAGGTGTGGAAAGGACTTTCTGAATAGGATTCCATTCATTCAGGAAGTAAGGGCAACAACTGACAAATGGAACCTGATAATTCTAAGAGGCTTCTGTATAGCTGAGGAAACAATCAACCTAGTGAAAAGGAAGCCCACTGAGTGGGAGAGAATCTTTGCAAGATAGATATCTGATAAAGATTAATATCCAGAATCTATAAAGAACTCAAGAAACCAGGAGTCAAAAAAAAAAAAAAAGACCCAATAAACTGGAAGAAATAAAAATGGCTAGGATTGTGTTCAGCTTCCTTAGCAATTATAGAAGGTCCAGCCTCTGATGAACTGAACCTCAAACAGCATTACAAAAGCATATTTATTGATTGTTACACAGTTGTTTTTTGGGGTAAAGTATTTCTTCATACCAAGGTCTTATCTAATGTATATGTCTCTCTAAAGGAAAACATCACATGCCCACATGACTTTAGTCCTTTATTGTGTGTATCATTTGCAGTACACAATAATTCAAAAGCCTCAGGTGTGCCAGAGGTGTCTTGTGACCAAAGTCGTGTAAAGTCTGTAATGCCTCTTCAGAAAAACAATTCTATAAATCATGGAAAACAATCACTATTTTCCACAATGATTCTTCAAGGTCAAAGTACTTCTAGAAAACAACTATTCACTCTAATGTTTTCTCTGGATACAGTGAAAACTATAATGTCTACCCTAGATACAGTGAAAACTAAATTCCTACAACAAAAGGAGAATTTTCACTTACTGTTGGTAGGATTGCAAACTGGTGTAGCTGCAGCCACTATGGAAATCAGTATGGAGAATTCTCTAAAAGCTAAAAGTAGATCTACCATATGGCCCAGTTATACCATTCCTTGGCACATACCCAAAGGATTTAGACATCCTACTTCACAGACACTTGTTCAGACATGTTCATTGCAGATCCATTCACAGTAGATAGGAAATAGAAGCAATCTAAATGTTCATCAATTGATAAATGAATGAGGTAACCCAGACTCAGAAAGACAAATGTTGAATGTTGTGTTTTATTTGTGGTTCCCAGCTCTGGATCATTAGATTTGATTATATAACCTGGAATAACAGCATAAGCCAGGAAAGTAGAGGCTATGGAGGAGTGAAGAGCTTTAGAGAGAGGAATAGTAGGATACAGGTGCTATAAAGGAGAAGGAAAAAGTGGGGAGGATAACAACTGTGGAAGGGGAGGGAGGATAATACAGAAGAAGAGGGAAGAAGGAGAGCTAAATAACCCTAAGAATGTTGGGGAAAGTCATAGGGAAACATTGCTCTATAAGCTTACTTAAAAATGCATTTAATATAATAATATAATAAATATAATATGTGTATACATATACACATGTGTATATGGTTTAAATGAAATTAAGCCACATGAGGTGATAATGTTCCCCCTAGGAGCCATAGACTAACAAATACCCCAGTACCAAATAAGGGAAACATCCTTTCAAGTTATTGGTCTGGGAATCTAAGAGATCCACACAACAATATAAGCCATTGCTAATGCCCTTGGTTGCCTTCCAGAAGTTGAAGGTTAAAACCTTATTGCTGAAGACACCATACACTTCAGTCACAGGATGGAGAAATCAAGCTGATACTGACCTGAAACACCTCCTCCCCAAGCTAGCTCTCATTGTATAAGAAGGTCCTATGCAAATTGCCAAGGGAGAAAAGTAATCAGTAGTTCTACCCAGCTGTTAAGCCTGAAAAACCGCAATGACTAGTCCAACAAGATATCCTAATGGTGTGATATTGACATGTATACCTTGGAAGTAATCAACGGCTGTCGAATTGGATTTAAGGCCTGCTCAGTACAAGAGTACTATAAACCTACTCAACTACCAATGGTTGGAGGAATCACAGGCCCTGGAGGAGAAATTATTACTACCACTTTCCTAAATCATATGTCCACAAATAAGGGTTAAAAACAATTTTTTCATCCTTCTCCTTCTTTTCTTCTTCCTTCTCTTCTTCTTTTTCTCCTCCTGCGCCTCCTCCTCCTCCTCCTCCTCCTCCTCCTCCTCCTGCGCCTCCTCCTCCTCCTCCAGCAGACAGAGATCCATAGCTGATCAAAATGCAGAGAATAGGTGACCATGGGTGCATAGCCTCAATTAGTACATCTACAACACAATTCCCACACTTAAGACTCAGGGAACATATTAGAAGAGTGGGGCAGAAAGACTGTAAGAACAGAGGACCAGAACACTTGCTGCAAGACAGTGAGTTCTAGACACGACAGGGATATGATATCCAAGAAATCTCAACAATGTAGGTGCCTAAACAAGACCTGCATAATGACCACACCAGAGGACATGCAAATGAGAAGGAAGGAAATTTCATATGGCCCTGCTACTCAGTGTCTACTGAGGGAGGGAGAATAATCTTTTTCCAGAGCAAGATCCCTAATAGGTTGCCCAATCCTAAATGGTCAGCCCTAAATACATGTAAATATGAACCACATTAAATGGACTCAGTAAGTTATATATGTTTATATAAAATACAATAATAACCATACAAGGAGAGGCCATACATTCAAGAGGGAGTGGGGAGAAGGAAAGAGTTGGGAGGGGAAAAATAGCAAAAATAAAAATACATGATAAAGTTAGATGAGATTTGTACAATTTGGGAAGCCTTGGTGCTGTGGGATGTTCTGTATGGCAAATGTGTTGCTCTGATTGGTCAATAAATAAAACACTGATTGGCCAGTGGCTAGGCAGGAAGTATAGGCAGGACTAACAGAGATGAGGAAAGAAAGAACAGGAAGGCAGAAGGAGTCACTGCCAGCCACCGCCATGACAAGCAGCATGTGAAGATGCCGGTAAGCCACGAGCCACGTGGCAAGGTATAGATTTATGGAAATGGATTAATTTAAGCTATAAGAACAAGATAACAAGAAGCCTGCCACAGCCATACAGTTTGTAAGCAATATAAGTCTCTGTGTTTACTTGGTTGGGTCTGAGCGGCTGTGGGACTGGTGGGTGACAAAGATTTGTCCTGACTGTGGGCAAGGCAGGAAAACTCTAACTACACCTTGGTATTTAGTTTATATATGATTTTGATAACTAAAAACAAAACAATGAAAACTAAAACTTTCTCTACCACTAAAAAAAAATTAAAATGAATATTAGCTGGGCATAGTGGTATATAGCATCTTATCCCAGAAACTAGGGAGAGACAGGAGAATTCTAAGAAGGCCAGCTTGGATCATAAAGTTCAAAACCAACATAGACCACAAAGCAAGACACTTTCTCAAAAAAAAAAAAAAGAATGTGATTTTATTTTCAGATTAAAAGAAACCTGAGTTTATCACCAACATGACTACATTAAATGCACATCTAAAAGTGTTCTTTCAATGAAGAGATATGATCCTAATACAAAAGAATGGTTAATAAAGAATTTGTAAATGTGTAGCTGAATCTAAATAAAACTACTATTATTAATATTAACACTTACAGTTTTAATTTTCAGGGGCTAAACTAGGAGGCATCAGATCATACTATGAAGCACTAAAATATGTGTCAGGAGTGTGCCCTGGTGCTGTGGGATGGTCTGTATGTCAAATTACTCTGATTGGTCAATAAATAAAACACTGATTGGTCAGTGGCCAGGCAGGAAGTATAGGCGGGGCTAATAGAGAGGAGAGAACAGGAAGGCGGAAGGAGACACTGCCAGCTGTGGCCATGACAAGCCGCATGTGAAGATGCCAGTAAGCCACAAGCCACAGTGACAAGGTATAGATTTATAGAAATGGATTAATTTAAGATGTAAGAACAGTGAGTAAGAAGCCTGCCACTGCCATAAAGTTTGTAAGTAATGTAAGCGTCTGTGTGTTTATTTTATAAGTGGGCTGTCAGACTGCCGGGGCTTGGTGGGACCTGGAGAGAAGCTCTCCAGCTACACCCTGGAGTAAGTATTCTAAGATCTTTGTATTACTTGGAAGGGAAATTAATATATTACCTTTCTTTATTTTGTAGTCAGACTTTTTTTGTCAGAACTTTGAGGGGGGAGGGTAGGACACTGCCAGATCCCCAGTAATGACAAGGAGACTTTTTATTAATTATTAAAGCTTGGCCTTTAACTTAGGCTTGTTCCCAACCTGCTCTTATAACTTAAATTAACCTGTTTCTATTAATCTATATTTTGCCATGTGGCTTTCCACCTGTCCTCCATTCTGTATGTCCAATTTCCTCCATGTCTCCCTGGTAAAATCCCCTGTGCCAGATTCTAACCCAGAGTTCCTATCTCTTCCTGGAAGTCCCACCTAACCTCTCCTGCCTAGCTATTGGCCATTCAGCTCTTTATGAAACCAATCAGAATAAAACACTAACACATTTTCACACAGTGTGATCAAATATTCTACATTTTTATAGTATTTCAAAAGCAAATTTTAAAGAAATTATCCAAACAAAAATTACAAGAAGTTTTGTATAATTTAACTTTGATAAAATACATGCTGCATAGAAAATTATTTTAATAGAGAAAAACAGGATAATTACTGAAACAAAATAGAGTACATAATCTCCAAAGTATTGAATTGAATAGCCTCAAGATTATCAAATGCCAGGGTTGTGTTTATTGAATTTGGAAGATGAGGATGATTCAGTTCAGTTCAGCCTGTTGAAAGATCATAATTTTTCCACTTGAATCTGAGTTGTTCTGCTTTGTTGCCTCTACTTGAACTGCATCTAAGTAAAAGAAAGCAAAAAAATCTTTTATCATTTATACCTGTCTCCTTGGTTATAAAAATAAATTAAGAATATTTTATTTTTCTCAGTATCTAATACCTGAAGCTTTGTTAGGCAGATGCTTAAGAATCAAAGCTAAAGATTGAAGAAAAACTTTGTTTTCTAGAAAACAGTACTCTGAGCCAATATACACTGACTGTGATGTTGAGTTTTTATCCTTTACACATTGATTAGTTGAAATTGTCCTCAAAATTCACTTCTCACTGTCCTGGAACCTTCCATCTTTGAATTGATTATCCCTTCTTCAAAAGTTTTCATGTATGACTATTGCCTGGCTGTCTATTTTCTAAATCTTACCATTCATCTTTTATCAGTTCTCTGGAAAGCTATCTCTGAAATGTTCAATCTAAATTACCTCCATTACTAATCACAGAATTGTTGAATGAATAAATGAATGGATGAATAAAAAGACCATTGAAAATATAAGAATCCAGATGAAGTTTAATAAACACAAGCTTATAAAGTTCTGTGCTAGGTAAGCACATTTTTTATCTTTATATGATACAGGAAATGATAAAATTAGTTTTGTCTTTTACAAAAGAGTAATAATACAGAGAAATGTCTACTTTATAAAAATCCCATTATAAGACTAGGTCATGCTTCCAATGATTTCTCATTTCTATCAAGGCTCTAAGCAACAACAGTTCAAATATACCTGGTAACCTGGGCGTCGAATGGGAAGATTGCTGGTCTTTAAACCATATTTAGTATAAATAATGGATCTAGATGACATTATGGGAGGACATTCCATGGAAGTTGGAACCTATTAGTAAAAAAGAAAAGTGAAAACCTTGTTTTAATTGATTTTCTAATGCCATAGTACCAAGAGGACGGACAAGTGGCTGTTCTAGTGTCAATATTACATTTAACTAATGCCAAGGGAAGGAAATGCCAAACACAAAGAAAACAATAAATCTGTAAAGGTGCTGCTAATGAAAGAGTGTAAGGGGGATGACTTAATGAATCATTCTCATAAGCAATAATGAATTAATCACAAAATAAGGTAAATAAAGAATTTGTCAGAATAACAAAACTGCCATCTCTAGACTTAAAATATTCATAGAAAAAGAACAGAAATCTATATATTGGTATGCATATATCTTTGATGAAATATTTTAGTGTGAGTATAGGACCACTTTTGTAGGGTTAATGTGAAGGTTGTGTAAAGTTTATTGATCTAAGTAGTAAGGTAAGGACGGGACAGGCACATCAGGTCAAAGACATTCAAAGCTAAGGTATTTCTTCTATTTTCTCTCATTTTTCCAATGGCTTATTGTGTTCAAGGTTCCAAACATATCCAGAAGATTTAAAAACGGACATTTAAAGAAGAACAAATATAAAACAGCTATAAAGACCTCTCTCATTTTTGGTCACAGAAGGTGAGATAGGTTCTTTCTCCGTAGTCCAGACTAATCTCAAATTCTTGATTTTCCTGCCTTGGCTTTAAGTGCTGGAATTGCAGGCCTGGCATTGGTCTTCATCTTCATCAATAACAATGTTGTAAAGTGCAAGTTCACTAAGCATATGACTAATGAATAAATTTCAAATTATAATATATTAAAACAATTGGAAATATTAGTGTTCTGACAGGCTATAGATAGGTAGGGCTCTAATTCAATAAGATGAAGATTGATAATTTTTTTGCTCTTTAAAAACACCTACAATTGGGGCTGAAGTGATGGATCAGCTGTTAAGAGCACTTGCTCCTCTTGAAGAGCACCCACAGTTTGGTTCTCTGTACTCACATGGCTGCTCACAACCACCTATAACTTCAGTTCCAGAGAATCTGATGGCCTCTTTTGGCCTCTACAGGCACCAGGCACACACATGGTGCACATTCATACATGCAGGTAAAATACTCATATACAAAAATAAATCCAATTTTTTTTTTAATTTAAAAATTACTCAGCTAGGCGGTAGTGGTGGACACCTTTAATCCTAGCACTCAGGAGGAAGAGGCAGGCAGATGTCTATGAGTTCAAGTCCAGCCTTGTCTATAGAGCAAGTTCTAGGACAGCCAAGGCTACACAGAGAAACCCTGTTTCGAAAAACCTGAAAGAAAGAAAGAAAGAAAGAAAGAAAGAAAGAAAGAAAGAAAGAAAGAAAGAAAGAAAGAAAGAAAGAAAGAAAGAAAGAGGGAGGGAGGGAGGGAGGAAGGAAGGGAGAAAGAAAGAAAAAAAGAAAAAGAAGTAAAAAATAAAAATAAAAATGCCTACAGTATATAAAATATGGGAGAAGTGGTGCAATTATATAGTACACTCTGAAATACTACCTGTGGTAACTAGACTAGTCATATTACAAGTACTTTTAGTCATTTAGAAGAATATACATATACATATGTATATTCTTCATAATTTTAAAAGAACTAATATAGATGATAGATAGATAGATAGATAGATAGATAGATAGATAGATAGATAGATAGATAGATAGATAGATAGATCTGAAGCTATCTATATTTAAGGATGGGATTTTCATTCTGTAGTCTGGCTGGAGCTACTTTGTACATGGTTCCCATCAGCTCTACTTCCTGCTCACTTTTGTGTGAAATAACTTGGCTTTTTATGTGTCCTTTACAGTTTTCAGTCTGCAAACCATACTTCTGGCCTCAAGTTCTGTTATCCTAACTGATGCCCTTTTTAGTTAATGGTGCCTAATCTTGCATTTCCCACAATCCTTTTGGAATTTTTTTTGTCCTGATCAACCACCCTTTCTTGTTAGTAAATTACAAAAGTTTAAATCATATTTATCATTTTTGGTATCTTGGAGTATTTCTTCTTCCCCAACATTCTGTACATAGGTACCTGCTGTGAAGTCAGTGCATAAGTGCCTAGAGATTTTACCTTGAAGAAAAGTTCCAATTACTATACATTTTCTACTAATATTTAATAAAAAATGTACAGATTGTACTGCAGAACGACATCTCATCCAGTAACTGGGTGTATATACAACAGTGGCTCCACAAGATTATCTCAGTAATGTTAACATAATTTTCTAATTTTGTATAAGCACACTATGATATTTGCATGACAAAACTGCCTAATGATACATTTCTCAAAATAAATTCCCCACTATTATGTAAGACATAATTATAAGATACAGAAAATAGTATGCTGCATATTTAGTATTGAGAACAGATTCATACTGAGTTTTTTACAGTTAGGATAATGATCTTTCCTTGCACATGGCAGACATAGAATGTTTAAAGGCATCCAATTATTGTTAGTACTATCTTGGAAGCCAAAGAAGAGTTTAAAGTAGCTCAAATTTACTGAGGATAGGAATTCACTTGGAAAACAAGTGAAATATGCAGTTAGCTAAGAAGGAAGAAGCTATGACTCTTCTTTTGGCATCATATGAATAATTATAACAAAATCACAGAAATAAAATCTTCAGCCACACCACCTCCAATAAATAAAACTCCATAAATTTTTCAGTGTTCACTTAAATTCTTTAGTTATACTATCTTTAGATGCATAATACAATGTGAAAATAAAGATAATATGACTTGAATCACAGCAGATGAAAAGCAAAGTAATATGAGCACAACAAGATGCATGATTCTCAACCTTAATTAGAATTAATTTTAAAAGAACTAATTAATTCTGGACAATTGCAGTAAAAATTCTCAATATTTTTCTTAGTTTTTGTCTATTCCTATGTAATATAACATGATATGTAATGACTTTTGAGTTTTGACATACTCCAGAGTGCCAGGGATTATTCAGATGGTCTTGAATAGGAAGGCAGAAATATCATTTCTCTGATCCTTCCCTAAGTACTCTTATTCAATGGCTTCTAATTTCACTACTTAAAATTCCTTCATACCAGAAATTTGTTGTGGAATAAAATATTTATTTAACTAAGTAAAGTTGTGTTACATTTGTTTGTGTTGCAGAATAATTGTTTAACTATGTGAAGATGAGTTGCATTTGTTTATTTGCATTTGTTTAACTATGTAAATATGTGTTCCTGTTTTACCTTCCTGCCTAAGGCACCTGATTGACGTGAATGGCCAATAGGTAGGCAGAGGAGGGATAGGTGGGGCTGGCAGGCAGAGAGAAAAGCAGCCAGCCAGGCATGAAGGAAGCAGGAAAGCAGGATGGACAGTATGTAAATGTGGTAAATGAGCCTCAGGGCAGCACATAGATTAATAGAAACGGGATAATTTAAGTTTAAAAAAAATTAGCTAGAAACAAGTGTAAGCTAAGACCAAGCATTCATAATTAATAAATCTCCCTGTCATTATTTGGGGACTGGTGGTTCAAAAAAGCCTGCTACAGAAAGTGTGTGTGTGTGTGTGTGTGTGTGTGTGTGTGTGTGTATACCAAACTAAAATTAATGAATAATTTTCATTACTAATGCTAATATTCTGTAACTATGACAAGGCATTCATTATTAGGCCTTGCTATTCAAACTGTAACTCGCGGGCCATAAACATCAACATCAGCTTGGTCTAAATTTAGATTCTCAATCTCTATTCCAGATCTATTGCATTTTAACAAGACCTCTAGGTGAATCATATGTAAATAAAAGCTTGACAATAATAACGAGAGGCAGACAAAGGATCTAAACATTCTTTCAAGGGAGAACTATTTCCATAATATTCGTAATCTTCATTATTATTAGAAAATTCTCATTATCCTTGCTTCTTATTGCTTCCTATGTATATAATCTTCTCTGAGGGCTAAGGTGATAAAATGTAATTGTTTATGCTTCATATCATAATGGGAGGACTGTGCCACAAAATATCATCTATCGTCATCTCCACCACTACCACCGCCATCCATTGAACTTCTAGCTAATGTTTTTGAGTATTTATTATGACCTATGCACCATTCTGAGTATCTTACATGTATTATCTATTTAAATGTAGTAGTTTATTTTTACCACCTTATTTTAAATAATTTTAATAATTATATAAGGTAAGTGATGTTTTAATCTCTGTTTTACAAGTAAGAAAAAAACTGAGGCATAGAAAGATTATATACATTATCAAGATCACATACATTAAGAAAGCTTTTTCATAGAGTCTGAAACCACAGCCTGAACTCTTAACCACTATGACATAAATTCTTTCTGATCTACAGCTTGACAGCAAATACACTAAAATTACTTCCTTCTTAACTTTATGAAAGAATTAATTTTAAACATTCTCACATCAAAGAGTATGGTGGTTTGAAAGAAAAGGCCTCCAAAGGGAGAGGCACTATTAGGAGGTATGCCTCTGTTGGAGTAGGTATGTCTTTATTGGAGGAAGTGTGTTACTGTAGGGGTGAGCTTTGAGGTCTTCTATGATCAAGCTACTCCCAGTGAGACAGTCAAACTTCCTGTTGCATTCTGATCAAGATGTAGCCAGCATCATGTCTGCCTGCATGCCACCATGCTCCCCACCATAATGATAATAGACTTAACCTCTGAAATGTAAGTGAGCCACCTCAATTAAATGTTTCCTTTATAAGAGTTGCTGTGGTTATGATGTCTCTTTACAGCAAACTTAGAAACCCCAATTAAGACAAAGAGTAATATGACTAGGGATGTAGTAGTGATAGAGCATTTGCCTAGCCAGGATGAGGCCTTAGGTTCAATTCCCCATATAAGAAAAATCTGTGGTAAGGTGGAGGGTAAGTAAGTTATTTTGATTTATCCTTTCTATAATATATACATATGTGAAAACCTCACATTGTACTACACAAAATGTACAATTATGACTTGTCAATTAAATAAATAACTTTGAAAGGATGAAATTTTGACCAATACTAC